ATATTTTGTAAAGTTTTAAACTAGAAAGACACTATTGTTTACAGGTGGTTAATTTTCTTAACAAAAGTGGAAAGTTTATAGTGAACTGTTTATTTAACGGTCGCTGGTGGCACACAGGTCGCAATACACAAGACTGTCTATAAACAAATGACAAATTGCATTTGAATTGGTTTTAATTACTGGTTGAAACCAACGCATTGATGTTATAGTGGAATTTATCAACCTAAAGTCGTGGTTTTGGCAATCTCTGCATGATCAACAATTGTGATTACAAATTCGGCCAGTTTATTTATTTGATCCCGCCGGCTGCCGCAAAAATATATCGTAGCCAAATCTGCCAACAAGCCGTCAACAAGTTGTGTTCGCACTGCTAATGTCCCAAGTTGTCGACAAGTTCGGAACAAGCTGTTAACAACTTGTAACAACCTTGTTGATATTATCAGACTTGTTGCAAGGTTGTTCCAACAAGTCCGATACAGTCATGATATAACAATATTGTTACAACCTTGTGCGGTCAACCTTGAAAATTCTTGTTATATCATGACTGTATCAGACCTGTTAGAACAACCTTGTAACAAGTCTGATAATGCCATCAAGCTTGTTACAAGTTGTTAACAGCTTGTTCCAAATTTGTTGCAACAATTACCGAGAACAAGCAGTGCGAACACAACTTGTCGACAACTTGGGGGAGAACAGTTTAGAAGTGATAGAACTATCCAGTATAAATAAAGTTCGGTTTTAATAAGATTTCCGCATTGTGGATCGTGTGCCTATATATTGCTTGAATAACATGCCTATCAATAACAACTGAGATTACATTTCAATATAATAAAATAAATGAAATTATGTACTGTACATGCGCCTTTTATATATACACTGAAATAATGTACATGTGCATTTTTATATATACTACTATTTTTTGTCAGATATTTCCCCCGCCATTTTCGTAAAGTTGCTTGCCATTTTTACAGCGTAGTACAAACACCGCTTTTATTTTGTTTGGCTGAAGTGTTCTCGTCTTTTCCTTTGTCGTCTTGTACATTAGCAGCGCTTGATTGATTGCTCGTACTGGGATCGTATTCCTGAGAAACACAAGAGATTGTATGTGTATGAGACGTGATGTCAGAAGGTGTAATCGTAAAATTTTAACAGGGGGGAGAGGAGTTCAAGACATGAACCACCAGAAATTCTGTTATTTAATTCTGGCAAAAGAAAAGAATGAATATATCTTAAAATGTTTTACCTCGTATTCTGGCACGTCCAACTTGGCATCTGTACCAAAAATACTCGCATACCATTCCAGGTCGTGTTTTGTATCTGTCTTTTTCAATGTTTCCAGTAAATGTTGATAGATTGCTGTCATTCTAGAATATAGTAGGACAAGACCTTCAGATTTGATGATACAAGAGATAGACAGGAAGCTTTGGATAACTCTATCAGTTCTAAACTGTTCTTCCTAGAGGTTCAGTAAGGATCATCTCTTATTGACCTAGTATTACTACAGGAGGAAACCTAAACTAAACTAACTTTATTTATACTGGATAGCTCTATCAGTTCTAAACTGTTCTTCCTAGAGGTCCAGTAAGGATCATCTCTTATTGATCCAGTGTTACTACAGGAGGAAACCTACACTAAACTAACTTTATTTATACTGGATAGCTCTATCAGTTCTAAACTGTTCTTCCTAGAGGTTCAGTAAGGATCATCTCTTATTGATCCAGTGTTACTACAGGAGGAAACCTAAACTAAACTAACTTTATTTATACTGGATAGCTCTATCAGTTCTAAACTGTTCTTCCTAGAGGTCCAGTAAGGATCATCTCTTATTGATCCAGTGTTACTACAGAAGGAAACCTAAACTAAACTAACTTTATTTATACTGGATAGCTCTGTCAGTTCTAAACTGTTCTTCCTGGAGGTCCAGTAAGGATCATCTCTTATTGATCCAGTGTTACTACAGGAGGAAACCTAAACTAAACTAACTTTATTTATACTGGATAGCTCTATCAGTTCTAAACTGTTCTTCCTAGAGGTCCAGTGAGGATCATCTCTTATTGATCCAGTGTTACTACAGGAGGAAACCTAAACTAAACTAACTTTATTTATACCGGATAGCTCTATCAGTTCTAAACTGTTCTCCCTAGAGGTCCAGTAAGGATCATCTCTTATTGATCCAGTGTTACTACAGGAAGAAACCTAAACTAAACTAACTTTATTTATACTGGATAGCTCTATCAGTTCTGAACTGTTCTTCCTAGAGGTCCAGTAAGGATCATCTCTTATTGATCCAGTGTTACTACAGGAGGAAACCTAAACTAAACTAACTTTATTTATACCGGATAGCTCTATCAGTTCTAAACTGTTCTCCCTAGAGGTCCAGTAAGGATCATCTCTTATTGATCCAGTGTTACTACAGGAGGAAACCTAAACTAAACTAACTTTATTTATACTGGATAGCTGTATCAGTTCTAAACTGTTCTTCCTAGAGGTCCAGTAAGGATCATCTCTTATTGATCCAGTGTTACTACAGGAGGAAACCTAAACTAAACTAACTTTATTTATACTGGATAGTTCTATCAGTTCTAAACTGTTCTTCCTAGAGGTCCAGTAAGGATCATCCCTTATTGATCCAAGGTTCAATTTCATCAGAGGGCCTATACAGTTGCATTTCTCACGGCTGTTTCTGGTTAAGTCTAAATATAAAGGTATAAAATTTCAATCCAGCATATCTTCCAAAATACATCCTAATCCATACCTCCATATCCAAGGCCTTGTGAACAATGGCTGTGGCGAGGAGGTCTCTCACGTGATCTTTATGTTCTTTTTTCGCCATCTGTAATCGATACGTTTTCTCACTCACAATTTTGCCCGACTTCGTTACCTGTGACAGAACATTTGAAATGGGTATTAAATAACGCTGTTCGAACAACAAGAGCCACAATTTCGGAGGAGAATCTTTTGTATGTTATGTAACACGCGCTCAAAACTAATGAATATTCTTTTCCACTTGATATGACTATATTTAAATTTTTAAATTTCTGATACCTAACGTTTCTTAAGCAGCAAACAAATTTAAAAAGTATGTTTAGTGCTTTATCTGTAAAATTATGCTAAAATGAAGAGATTTTAGATGATACGCCAAAGAGAGAATGATGTCTGAAGTTCAGTAAGTTTTGCTTATATTGCTGTATAAAAATGGCGTCAATTTTACAGCATCAATGATAATTGTATTTAAATTGACAATATTTAACTATTATTTGTTTCTCAACCGCCAGATACATTTAAGAGGAGTTTTTTTGTATGTTACGTAACACGCGCTCAAAACTAATGCGTATAATATATCACTTGAGGTTATGACTAAATTCAAAATTTTTATTTTTCGATACGTATGTTTAGTGCTTTATCTGTAAAATATTGCAAAAATGAAGAGAATTTAGATGATACGCCAAAGAGAAAATGATGTCTGAAGTTCAGTAAGTTTTGCTTATATGGCTGTAAATATGGCGTCAATTTTAAAGCATCATTGGACATTGCTAATTGTATTTTAATTGACAATTTTTAACTATTATGTTATGTTTCTCAACCGGCAGATGCATTTAAAAAGGTTGCTAACTCTATAAACTAGAGAATAAAGCTAAAACAAAGTAATTTTGAGAGGAACGCCAAAAACGATTTTAACGCCAAAAACACTTTTCATTGCAAATACGTGACATAGAAAAAAATTGCCTCTTAAAAAGGTTGCTAACAGTGTAAACCACAGAATAAAGCTAAAAGAAAGTAATTTTGATATCATATGAACTGAGACAATCTCATGCAGAGTCGAATTTTGAGCCAGGACAGCTAGGACGATTTTATACGGATATGACATGTACAGTTAATAGTACATCTTACTAACCAATCCAGACTTCTTAAGATGTTTCTTCATTCTGGTGTTGGCAAAGAATCCTCCCAAGTGAGGATCTTGCAGACTGTTGTACGACGCCAGGGGACTGCAAGGGAAAAAGGAAAAATATCAAAATTACTGCTGACGCCACAATTCCGGTTCATTTAGTTAATTAAAGCGAAATTTGAAATGCACCCACCAAATAATGGTAATGTTGGGATAGCAGAGCATTGCAGACTGCAGTGAAAAGTGCAGAGGAGTGTGGGCAGTAAGGCTCCCTCATGCACCACCCCATGGAAAACCTGCACCCATCTTTGCAGATTAAAAGTCTGGACACGATTCGGGAATGCTAGGCAATTTTTCGATTTTCACTGACCGATAACTTCAAATGATCCTGGTTTAAATTTTCCAAATATTTAGAAGCGCTATAACATTTCGAGTTATTTGGTCTACATATCTTTCAAAATTTGCTGTCATTGGCTGTGAGTTCACTTTGAAAAGCTAAAAAATCGCGTCGCGTTGTCGAATCGCGTCCGATGCGTCTGGACCTTAAAGCTACATCCCCGCCCCTGGTTAAGCTACAGTTGCTCCCTATTAATTGAGGATTTTTTTCATCCCCCCCAAATCGATTATACTTAAGAATAATACGATCATTTATAACAATCCTGCACAGCATGATAAATTCATCAATATTTCACTGACAGAAAACTTTGATTCTGATTTAATTTTTGCAGATATTTAGGGAGCGGTCATTATATATGAGGGGGGGTGGGTGGGTGGGGGGGGGGTGGCACCGTGGAGAGATGTTTTCTTGGTAAAAATTTTGCTGATACAAACATTAAAAAGCCAAATACCCACCCCTGGCCAAAGACGTTACAAAAGGATACCATTCAGTAGTCACAGATGTCCTTTACCACTTCTGTGACATGAGTTTGATGACTGCTTGTGAAATTTTCTGCAGTCTAAAGTTTCATGTTGTCTGCACATGTACTTTCTTTGGAGACACCATTTTGCCTCCTGACAAATCAGGAAATGATCAAGATAGTGACTCTGATTGATTGATTGATTTACATATAGTACTGACATATGACTGTTGACATTGCTTGTTAGTCTTCAATATCATGAGTCATACTTTGGAAATGACAATAAGTTTTTATTACCCAACCCTTGAGTTGTTTTTTTCCCCTTCATTTACCCAACCTTTTACACAAAAATATTTTGTTTACCCAACCCTTTTCTCTTCGGTGCCACCCCCCTCCATGATGACCCGTCCTTTGGTATCGCTTATAACATGTTGAGTCGTTTGGTTTGCATAGCTTTAAAAATTTCCATAGACGGTTTTGTTAACTTTTGAAAATTGATAAATCTTGGTAAACGTCGTCATTGTCTTTTGTCAGTTTTCTACTTGTGTGAATTTTGCGTATGAGATAAATATTATCCTTTTGCATTGGAGATTTGCTTCGTTAAAGCAGAGTTAATTAAAAGAAAACACTTGATGTGTTATTTTGAAACACTTAGAACAATATTTACTGCATGTATAGTGAAGCTGCCGCCATAACTCAAGTAGAGCAGAATAGCGGCACCGCATAAGTGCCTGATATTGAAGCATTTTTTTTAACTAGTATACGCTGAACTACCTGAAAAAGATATCTTAAACGTAGTGGTCCAGTATAGGTAGTATACAACAATATTCAATAAGCTTTCGCGGTGTGTGTCTGAACTATACAAGTTTGAAAAAGATATCTCAAACGTGGTCCAGTGTTGGTATAGTATTCTACAATAAGCTGTTGTGGTTTGTGTGTGAACTACCTGAAAAAAATATCGCAAACGTGGTGGTCCAGTGTAGGTAGTATTCTACAATAAGCTGTCGTGGTTTGTGTGTGAACTACCTGAAAAAGATATCTCAAACGTGGTGGTCCAGTGTAGGTAGTATTCTACAAAAAACTACTCAGTCTTAGACCAAAGTGCCTATATACTCAACATGTGTCGGAAGTGGGAAGATGTCTCCTGGATTGTCTATATTCGGACAGATTTCATAACCATGGCAGCTTATTAAAGGATCTCAGAAACGTCATCAGAAATATTTGCTGTGTCTGTGAAACAAGTTTGTTATATCTCTGAGAATGTTCTGAATTAAGTAGAATTATGGAAATATATTTCGTGCACTTAAATTGGAAAAGACTCTTTATCGTTTTTCTTTTTTCACGCTTTTACAGGTTTAGTTCACACACACAAACCACGGCAGCTTGTTGAAGAATACTACCTACACTGGATCACCACGTTTGAGATCTTTTTCAGGTAGTTCACACACAATCCATGGCAGCTTATTGTAGACCACATTGGACTTGTACAGTAGTTTTATTTACCCACAAGTAATATTTACAAGTTGAATATTTAAGAATATATAAACGGGCTAGAGACTTCTGGAAATCCTGTTGGACTTTTAAGACGAGGCCCCTATAGTTTTAGTGTTCAGTAATATAAAAATAGATTATGTACATAAGGACAATTTGCAATGAAAAACACAAAGTATTTATATGGAAAATGTTTAAGGAATATTTAGTACATTACAGAATACTGTCATTAATATTCCTGAAATATTTACATCAACTAGACATCAAGTAATAGGATTTTGCAGTTTTCTTAAAAGAAAAATATGATTTAATATTTTTAATTTCTTCATCAAGGCAATTCCATATAGAAACTCCTTTGTTAAATACAGTGTATTTGCGATAGTTTGTTCTCTTACGGCTCACATGTAACTTGGTAGAATTTCGAGTATTATAGTTGTATAGTGACTTCAATTTTGTTTTGCACAAAAAAGCTACTTGTTATGTTTATGACATTAAGCATAGTGACAGCTAAACTATTAGATATAATAAAATTGTAATTCTGCCCCTATTGTCCGCAGTTTTTAATATCCTCTGGCTTAGTTAAGCAAATACAGATATTTGTTTTGGCTTTTAAGAATTAACATTTATTAAAAAACCTTAAAGTTTAAAGACAGGTATAATTAACAGCAGATGGACTGTAAAAATAAATGAAAATGCTTTCAAGATACGTACTACTGTATCCAGAAGGATTTGTAAGCAGTTTAGGTCCCTGGCAGGAATGGAACATGCAGCCCTGTAATTCTGGTGCAGTGCTCTAACCAACTGAGCTACAGAGGCCAGTTGTTGAGCTAAGTTGCCAAACTGAGCCAGTTGTTGAATGTATAAAATTCACACTCAACATTTGCATGTACAATTAACGCTTCTACAATTAGCAATATATCGAGTGTTAGATGCAAAAAATCGTTTCAAGATACCATATGTCAACATTGCTAGCTTGAACAAGGTTTTCCAGAGATGAAAAGCCTGATATCTTTTTATATTGAGATATTAACCAGAGTTTGAGACCAAAGGGTTCGAATGTGTTGGAGACCAAAACTTTGCCCCCAATATTTTGCAAAGCATTGCAACGTGGATGAATCAATTTGTAAATGCAAAGCAAAAATTGTTCCTTTAAAAATAATTTTATAATTATTTTTGCTCACATGTGCGACAGACGTCAGAACTTGTAAGTGCCGTTTACCACTGAGATCATGGGTTCAATGGACCATTTGCATTATAGACTAAATTTTGATCTAGACAAAAATTTCATCACAGCTTGAAAGAGCATCACAAAATTAGTAATATTCCAGTAAGTTTCGTTGCGAAATTGGAAATTGATGCCCCAACACCCGATTGGGCTGTCAATTTCCCATGCGTAATACAAAATGACTGAAAAACGGCAAACTTCGCAACTGGCTATATTATCCGCATTTTACAACATTTCGCAACGAAACTTTGGAATATTACTAATTTTGTGATGCTCTTTCAAGCGGTGATGAAATTTTTGTCTAGATCAAAATTTAGTCTATAATGCAAATGGTCCATTCTCGCTGTCACTGAGACACATGACAACTTGTGAAAAGTGTCCGTCAATGCTCTACGGTACCGAAAGTCGTGGGTTTTCTTCGAGTGCTCTCGTTTCCTCCCACAGGGAATGTTGACAGGGTGGGTTGGAATTAGCCCCGCCCTAACTGACCCTTCCACCGTAGCTGTGCGATCAGACATGAGTTGTAACATGGCTATCAGACGCGCCCTTAGAAAGCCTTCCACTCGATCAGGTTGAGCTGCGTCCTTCGTAATGGGTGATTCGAGCTATAGACAAAATTTTGATCAAGGCAAGAAGAATGAAATCCAACACCACAGCTAGAAAGAGCGTCTTAGAATGAGTAAAACTGCAAAGATTGGTTGCTAAATGTTGTAAGATAAAGAAAATATAGCCCTGTGAAGTTCGCAAATTTTGTATATATTTGTATTACGTACAGTAAAAATAATCACTTTCGGCTCAAAAATGGTTATTTTTCCCAGGTGTAATGCAAATGTATACAAAATTTGCGAACTTCACAGGACTATATTTTCCTCATTTTACAAAAGGTCACAACCAAACTTTGCAATTTTACTCAATTTAAGATGCTCTTTCCAGATATGGTAATGGTTTTGTTCTTGTCTATATCAAAATTTCTTAGCTATCAGCTGCAAGTAAGGATGATTTGCACAAAAACAAATTTGCCATTGTGACATATGTTTGCATCACACAACTAAGATCTCAAGTGGACCTGATTGGAAAGTTTGGAAATTGTGTGTGCACCTGATATTTCGAAAATTTAATAGTAAATATATAGGAAGCATCAAAATTGCAAGTCTCGGTTCCACGATCTAAACTTTCCACACTGGCAAATACAGTTCGGTTTTGATGTTTACTATAGATATTTACTACTATAAAATTTTCAAATATTGGGCCGCACACAACATCCGATATTTCCTAAAAATATTCCTTCAAATCAGTTGCTAACTTATAAATATATTGTAGCCTGTGTATAATTATATGTGCAATGTGGCAAAGAATACTAAAGCGTTTGACAAAAAACATTTTTATTCTGTATAAATTATACCAATTGAAACTTGTCATGTTTACATTTTACATCGGTTTTAATAAAATTACAGCAATACAAATTGTTATTTTTGTCAAACGCTTAAATACTTTGCTATAGAATGCACATAGAATTATTACACAAAAATCCTTGTAACATAGAGACACCTTTCATAGCACTACTATAATAGATCAAAATTGCAATCGGAAATTCAAATATTAAACAAGCAAACTCGATACGCGCAATTTATAGATTAAACATTTCAAGATCTTGTCAAAATGTTGACGATAAAAATCATCTATAAATTCACTCGTAAAGGTATTTCGAGGAATTTTAAGCTACTACATACCCTGGTTCGGCGTGACTCATATTTCTTTCCCAAGATCGACAATGTAGAGGCGTTCTTGCTTGAATTCAGATAAGGACCAGACCAAACTGGCTCCAACTATGAAACTATTTCGCGATAAAATGCTATGTAGATTTGGACTTTGTCCTAGATTCGACGTTATAATACGACCCAAACATGCCTGCAAATGGAGAAAATGTCTGATTGCTTTATCGTAAAGATCCGCGGCCAGAAACTACAGCTAAAGCCGTGTTAACGCGTTGAAATTAATTAGGATTTTGTGTCGTTGCCATGACGGCCATGTTTTGGTTGCTAAGGGAAATTTGTGCCTTCCCGCATAGCTTTGCGGGTTTTGTTTAATGACGTCATCATTACCCTGATCTGAAAAATGTTACTGGACAGAAAAGATAAATTAATCTGGGGAATGAGGCTTTGATAACGGTTGCTGAACCAATAAGCTAGCGACGGTCCTTACTGGACTTGTAAGAACAGTTTAGAGTTGATAGAGCTATCCAGTATAAATAAAGTTAGTTTAGGTTTCCTCCTGTAGTAACACTGGATCAATAAGAGATGATCCTTATTGGACCTCTAGGGAGGACACTTTAGAACTTATAGAGCTATCCAGTATAAATAAAGTTAGTTTAGGTTTCCTCCTGTAGTAACACTGGATCAATAAGAGATGATCCTTACTGGATCTCCAGGGAGAACACTTTAGAACAGATAGAGCTATCCACTATAAATAAAGTTAGTTTAATACTTTAATTGTATGTTTGCATGGCGAAAAATATAATAGTTTTATTTGTGGAAACACCACGTAAATTGAAGATGAAGATCCGGGCTTACGGATCGAAAGCTTTGCAGACTTGCAGTAATAAATTTACGTGGTGTTTCCACAAACAAAACTATTATTAAAGTTAGTTTAGTTTTCTTCCTGTCAGTAACACTGGATCAATAAGAGATTACTCTTACTGGACCTCTAGGAAAAACAGTTTAGAACTGATTGAGCTATCCAGTATAAACAAAGTTAGTATATTAGTTTAGGTTTCCTCCTGTAGTAACACTGGATCAATAAGAGATGATCTTTACAGGACCTCTAGGAAGAACAGTTTAGAACTGGTAGAGCTATCCAGTATAAATAAAGTTAGTTAGTTTAGGTTTCCTCGTGTAGTAACACTGGATCAATAAGAGATGATCCTTTCTGGACCTCTAGGAAGAACAGTTTAGAACTGATAGAGCTATCCAGTATAAATAAAGTTAGTTAGTTTTGGTTTCCTCCTGTAGTAACACTGGATCAATAAGAGATGATCTCTACAGGACCTCTAGGGAGAACACTTTAGAACTGATAGAGCTATCCAGTATAAATAAAGTTAGTTTAGTTTAGGTTTCTTCCCGTAGTATTAAATACTGGAACAATAAGAGATGACTCTTACTGGACCTCTGGGGAGAACAGTTTAGAACTGATAGAGCTATCCAGTATAAATAAAGATATATAAATTTAGTTTAGGTTTCCTCGTGTAGTAACACTGGGTTAATAAGGGATGGCTCTTACTGGACCTCCAGGGAGAACAATTTAGAACTGATAGAGCTATCCAGTATAAATAAAGTTAATTTAGTTTAGGTTTCTTCCTGTAGTATTACTGATGCTGGATCAATAAGAGATGACTCTTACTGGACCTCTAGGAAAAACAGTTTTGAGAACTGATAGAGCTATCCAGTATAAACAAAGTTAGTATTAGTTTAGGTTTCCTCCTGTAGTAACACTGAATCAGTAAGTAAAAGATGATCCTCGCTGGACCCCCAGGGAGAACACTTTAGAACAGATAGAGCTATCCGGCAATACAAATATCGCTAGTGGTAACACTGGATCAATAAGGAATGGCTCTTACAGGACTTCTAGCTTTGGAAAACAGTTTAGAAGCTGGCGATTAAAGCCATATATAAATTATCCAGTATAGATAACCGAGGTCGTTTAGTTCAAGAGCCACTTGTCTCAAGTATTCTTAGTCCTTTGAAATTGGCTGAATAAATCACTCTTCCACATTGCGTAATGCTGTTACTCACGCTGGGCCAAGGTGACAATGTATCACATTCTGACTGTGATAATGTAGCCGAGATCCGCAGTATTCCCGATGTCCAAGTGTGAAAATAATTAAACCAAATTAATTTGGGAGGTTTTCGTAAAAATAGAATGAATTTAGAACTTTTGTATGGAATAAGTAGGTTTGAAGATGATATCGTGCAAGCAGATGGTGTTCAACCTGAAGTTATATCAAGATGAAAAAAATGTTAATTATTTATTGACTTTCATTATTCGTATAGTAGCCTTGTACATGTCTTACTATATAACAGGTGAAACAAAGAAACTGACATTTTCAGCGATATCAAGACAACCAAGGTCAATGACATTGGAAATAAAATTGTTTTTTAGTCTATTAATGCATGTCTCATATTCGGCTGTCATTAACATCAGTATATCCGTCCGTCAGATGTCGTATTATCGTAATTTTGAATCGAATGTATGCCGTTATAGTCTTTGTATTCAAATTAAATTAAAGATATATTGAAATACAATGTCCTATCGCACGCTTCATGTGCTCAACTTAGATGTAATATTTCAAATCCGACTATAATGCGACTATGAGGACTGGACTAGATTTCAAGACCACGCAAAGTTGATCTATAGTCAAAGGCGAGGCCGAGGAGTGAATCAAAATGCTGAGAACTTGAAATCTATTAATTTTGATCCAGTCTTACTTCATCAGGTATCCAGTATTATCATGTGTGCAAAATAAAGCAATATGGTTGGCTAATTTTTTTATTTATTTTTTTTTTTATTAACTTAACAATCGCACGACAGTGATGGAAAGGACAACAGAACTATTTGTTACTTATTAAGTCCCACCAAAAAATTACACTAAACATATAACAATACATAAAATTACAATCATAATATATCGTGGATCATGCATGACTATACATTCCTACATATTTACGAACAACAGTTTGTTTGCAACGAAAGACACTTGCTACACATAGTTTTCCACGTTCTAGGTCTATCTATATCGAAGACAGTGTTCAGTTTATTAGTATAATATATATATAGTTTAGTCTTAAGGATAGCAACTGAAGAGGACGCTTTTATACCAGAAGGTAGATTATTCCATAAAAAAACCCAATTCTATTAGAGTATTATTTTATTTACTCATGCATTATTAATACAGTAATGAGTTTGAGATTGGTTATTTAATGGTCTCCAAAATACTTTTCTGAGTATGCGCATAGAACTCAATTAGCATTTCTCACGCCGCCATTTTTGGGTGGCATTTCAGCCGAAGTCTGCGAGATAAGTCCACATAACACTCAGCGACTTTTTATAATTTTTTGGACGAATGATGGTAAATTTGCTTTGTAAATGGTTAGTTTATTTTGAAAAATTGCTTTTCACATTGTTTTAATTGTCTGCATTGGTTAACGAGAATTAGATGC